TTTTAAAAAATGCAACAACAACCACAACATGGTAACAAACTTCATCTTCATTCTAAGAATGTGATGATTGTTTTATTAGTAGTGTTGAGTTATTTAATTAGTACTATTCATAGTAGTATTACTATTAATAATAATAATAATAAAATTAATAGTATTAATATGAATGGTAAAATAATTTCAAGTATTTCAGTTGTACAATCATCATTATATACAGGTGATAGATTAAAATTATTAAATCAACCAATTCAATGGATTCCTAATAGTAATATTAAACCAAATTTAAAAACATTTAAATTAGATTCATCTATTAAATATCAATCAATTATTGGATTTGGTTGTGCTTTAACTGAAGCCTCTGCATTTACATTTGCAACAATGAATGAACAAATTAGAAATGAAATTCTAAGTTTATATTGGACTTCTAAAGGATTAAATTATACTACTGCTAGAATTCATATGAATTCATGTGATTTTAGTTTAGATAATTATAGTTGTGATGATGTTGAAAATGATTATCAATTAACTAATTTTAATATTAGAAGAGATAAAATATTTACTTTACCTTTAATTAAAAGAGTTTTAAATCAAGTTAAATTAAATTATCCTAAAAATGGTGAATCTTTTAAAATATTTTTATCACCTTGGTCTCCACCTGCTTGGTATGTTTCAATATTTATTTAATATTTAATATTTTAATATTTTATTTAATTTATTTATTTTAATATTTTATTTATTTATTTAATTATTTTAATATATTAAAATAAATATATATATAGGATGAAATATAATCATGAAATGAATGGTTCAAATCAACCAAATGGTTTAATTAATGCTACAAATATTTTAGATTCATGGGCATTGCACTTTTCTAAATTTGTTACTGCCTATCAAAATGAAGGTATTGATAGAATTTGGGGTTTAACTATTCAAAATGAACCTGAATTTGCTGCGTATGTATTTTTTTTATAATATTTAATAATATTTAATTACAATAATATATTTATTAAATATTTAATAATATTCAATTACAATAATATTTAATTTTCAATAATATATTTATTAAAAATAGACCATGGGATGCTTGTTGTTATACACCTGAATATCAAAGAGATTTTATTAAAAATCATTTAGGACCTAGAATGAGAAGAGATCATCCAAATTTGAAAATCATGATATTTGATCATAATAGAGATTCTGTTGAAAAATGGGCATCAACAATTTATTCAGATCCAGAAGCAAGTAAATATGTAGATGGTATGGCATTCCATTGGTATGTTGATGGTGAATATGAAAATCTATCACGTGCTCATCAAGTTGATAAAGAAAAATTCTTATTAGCAACTGAAGCATGTTGGGGACCTGGTGTTTCATTGGGTAATTGGACACGTGGTGAAAAATATGGATTTGATATTATTAATGATTTAAATAATTATGCAAGTGGATGGACTGATTGGAATTGTATTTTAGATTGGCAAGGTGGTCCAAATCATTTACAAAATTGGTGTGATGCTCCTATTATTGCTGATAATAGAACTCAGGAAATTCACATTCAACCAACTTATTATTTTATGGGTCATTTCTCTAAATATTTAACACAAGATTCAAAGAGAATTCACATGTTTAGACCTGTAAATGATCAAACTTTAATTACTTCATTCCAAACACCTGATAATAAGATTATTACCATTGTTCAAAATCAACAAGAAAGTATTTTATCTTTCAATTTAATTGATCAGGATAATCATTTATATCATGCTCAAATTGATGTTCCACCACGTACTATTAGAACTTTAATTTATCAAAAATAAATTTTCATATTCAAAGAATTCATGAATTAGTACCTTTACCCTAAACAAGATTGATGAATTTACAGGTCTCGTTTGAGAAATGATTACCAAGTGCGATTGTAGTTCGTCAGCCTTTTTGTAATGGAAATAAATTTAATAAAAAATAAAACAACAACACCTCACTCATCATGTCTCGTAAGTTTCGAGTTCATGCACCACAATACCGACATTCATAACACAACTTACCAACACAACAACAACTTATCGATACTAACAACAAATATATAACATCAACATGATCATCAAATGGTAATTAAAATTTAAAGGTGGTAATCAACGTGATATTGACCGTCAACGTGCTCAATCCAGAAAACAAAAGGAAAAGGGAAGAGATGAAGATGGTTTAACTCCTCTCCAACGTAAAGAAAGAGATGCCCAAAAACTCCAACAAAAGATTGCTGCCAAACAAGCAAAAGAACAAAAATAACAAAATCCCTCTCTCTCTCTCTAATCAATGTAAATATCATACTTTGAATGAGTATGAAAAAACCTAATCTAATTATAAATTATTAATTTTTTGTATTGTTACTGTTATTCTAAAAACGTGCAATTCCAATGACAAGTCTTCACCAACAATCAAAGCAACACGTTCAAAGCCTTTAAAAAAATGATCAAACTATTCTTGAAAGGAACATCACAAATATTAGTATTTATAATGATGTTGGTGATGATAATGAATGTTGTTATGGGTTCAACGCCATCACCATCGGAACAAAATGATACAAATAATCATCCAATATTATATAGATTATTCATGTTATTAGCATCATTAGTAGTTATTGTTGGAGGATGGTACATTTTACTTCATTACTTTTTAATTAGATTTAAAATTGTTAGAGAATTACTTGGAATGGAAAAGAAACAAATACCAAAAGTTATCATTAAAAAGACTCCAAGAGTTCCATCCATTTCCAATGATGAAGAATAAGATTTAATGTCTGTGTTATTACATTTATATTGGAAAATAAATTTATTGGAAAGAAGAAGGAGGTAGTGGAGAATGTTTAAATCATCAACATGTTTTTCGCCTTTTGATGATCGCCGATTAAGGTTTTGATCATGTCCACACAAACTCTGAACTCATTTAACCATTCGATTATCACCACTACCACCTCTGTATCTCCTCCTCCCTCATTAAGTATCATCATCACAACGAAAGACATAGTCAACAATAAAAAGAGTTGTAATAAGGTTATATTCCCGACGAAAGGATTGAAATATCCAAATATTTGAACTCTATCATCAATACCACAGCTGTGACAACAAATCCAATATAATATTAATCGGCGATTCGTTAAGTAATTCCTCCTCCAAAACATTAAATTTGACCGCATTACACTCTCTCATGTGTCAATTCAGACATTTTACCAACTCAAAAAGAATCAACCTATTATGCTTACTCAACAACAACAACAGCAACAACAAATCTATTTACATCAACAACAACAACAGCAACAACAATTAATGTTATCTAGTACTGGTGGTACTCCTAACAATAATTGTAATATTAGTAATAGTAGTGGTAGTAATATTTCAAGTACTACTGGTGGAACATCCACAAGTAGTAATAATTCTGAAAATACTTGTTGTAATAATAGTGGATATTATGCATTGATTGGTAATCAATTTCAATCTCAGCAACAACAACAACAGTATCATCAATCTTATTTGAAACAATCTAATAATAATAATACAATTACTAATAATGGAAATTTAATTTCTAATAATCCAACACTAAATACTATATTAAGTGATCCAAATGCTTTTCCTTCTCTTTCACAACTTGTACAATCTCAAAATAATCAATCTTGTCAATCCTGTATGACTCCTATTAATAATTCTAATAATAATATAAATAATAATTCCATAATTGGAAATTCAAGTCCACATAAATATAGTAAATTACAATGTACTGAACAATCAATATTATTACAAAGATGTCCAAATAGTGATTATAAATTTATTCATGAATTTGGAAATGACTATATAAGTAATAATGTAATTTTTAAAAAATTTTCAAATCAAGATGTAGAAAATATTTATCAATATTTTAAACAAGGAATTAAATTACAAAATAAGACTTGTAAAAATTATGTATTTGAACAATGTTTCGATGGGCAGGAAGCATTTTTACTTTTACAAGAAATATTACTTTCCAAATTTAGTAATTTAAATGATATTCCAATTGCTAAATTAGCATTACATTTAGGTCAATTTTTATTAACCATTGGAAAATTTAATCATGTTTGTAAAGAACATTGTTTTAAAAATGTTAATTTATTATTTTATCAATTTTCTAATTTTAATATTTTACATTTTAATGAATTAAAAGTAACAAATTCACCAAATTGGTATTTAATTTATCCAAATATAGATTCATTTATTGTCCAACAATCAAATAATACTGTACAATTATTTCAATGTAATGTTCCAATTAGAGAACAATTTTCACCTATTTTTAATAGTATTTCCATTTTAGAATTAAAAGAAATTTTATTATCAGAAGTATTACCATATGAGGAAGGTGTTGAAATGTTATGCAGAAATGATGATATTAATTTATTTACTTTTTTACAAAAAACAAAATTTCAAGAATATCCTGATTATATTACAATTCAATTATTATCAGTTCAATCTTCAATTCAAAAAAGTACAATTGCTATTTATAGTAGGTGTAAATATGGTTATTCTGATTGGGGTAATAATAAGGAGAGAGTTAATAATTGGATTTCAAAAATTGTTTCAACATGTCAAACTCATGTCATTTCAAGAAAATGTTCAATTTAATGTAAAATAAAAACAATTTAAATTAATAAATAAATAAAAATAAATTAAATTTTAATGATTTAATAAAATTTTAAATTCAATTAATATTGTAATAACCAAATATACAAGATATATAGTCAATAAAAATAATCCAAATATTTTAGGAGCTTTAAATTTGGCAATTGGAATAACAATTAAAGATGAAATTAAAGTTGCCAATAAAAATATAAAAGTAACAATTAAAGTTGGTGAAAATTCAATTTCAAATGGTTTACGAGTCATGACAAAATTAGCAGTTGTAGCAATACCTAATCCAATTAATAAACTCATTCCTTGTGCTGCATATGCAGCAGCAACTGCCATTTCAACATAACCTTGTCTTGCAACTATTTAAATAGTATTGTTAAATATTGTAAAATATTGTAAACATGTTAAAAAAGTATTAAAAAAAATAAACATACCAGCCAAATCAGCAGCCATATCTGAGAAGGTATTACCAATTGATAAAACAATAGATAATACAGAATCACTAATACTCCATAAAATACCAAATGAATTTAAAACATTCACCAATTCATTGGCAATTGTAAAAATCCATAAAATTGACATGATGAATGAACTAATTACAAATATTATGTGATAAAATGGTTTTCTACATTTCTTTGATGTAAAATGAATTAAAATTGAAATGAATAAACCACACATTGATCCTAATACCCAAATTGGAAATTCACTACCTGGAATATTCAATGAAATATATCCAATTGTAAATAAAGTAAATGGTGGAATGAATATTGGACATAGAATGGCAAATAATTTACTCCAATCATTTGGATCTGCCTTTGGAATTGTTAAATTTCTAGCTAGAATTGAAGGTGCTTCTATTATAAAGAATATCTTATCTAATTTGGATTTTTCATTCCACTCAATCCATTCAATAAATTCTTGATATTTAGTTGAAATTATTTCTTTAAATGATGAAAATCTGAAATGATGATGATCATGTTCATGACAGTGAATCAAATCTTGATTATCATTTGATGATGTATTAATTGTAAAGTGATTTTCAATGATAATTGATCCATTCATTTCAATATTATTAATAGAATTATCTTCTTCTTGTAAAGATGATTTTCTATTGAGAGGTGTCCTTTCAGTACAACATCCTTTTGGAATAGTATTAATAGGTTCATTAGATAAATAAGCAACTCCAAATTTAGGATTATAAACAGCTCCATAAAACAATTTGGATTTCAATTGTTTTTTAACATTTTCAGGAATTTCATCAATATTCTTACATTGTAATATTGGTTTCTTTCCTTCTAACCATCCACTTGAATTAGATTCTTCTTCTTCCTCGTTTGCATCATCTTTATCTTGTTGATCTTCTTGTTGATTTTTCTTCTTTCTATTTTTGTAATCATTGTAAAATTTACAACCAATTACAAATGAAACATATAAAAAGTAAATAACTAGAAATGTAATACTTTGCCATAAATTAATTGAACCCTGAAATATAACAATTAAAAATACAAATAAAACACCAATTAAATAAGTAATAACATCTCTCAAAAATGGAAATGCTGAAACTGTTGCATCTTTAACTACAAATGAAACAATTGCAATTAAAACTGAAACACAAACAAATCCACTTCCAATTGGTTCACCTAATCCAAATCCAGATGATCCAGAAAATATACCTGCTAATATAGAAAATATATCTATATATTTAATAATAGTTAAATCATTAAGTGTAAAGTTATTAATAGTATTAATTAAAAACATACCTGGTGATGAATTTCCCAAGGCTAGGAAAGTAACACCAGCAACATCTGGTGGTAATCTTAATATTCTTGAAATTTCAGCTAAACTTGGACAAAAGAAATCCTCAGCAGTTGCTATATATATAGTAATTCCAATAATATTTAACATAAAATACTCAATTTAAATACTAGTATATATATAAACTTACATGTTAACATGTAAAATAAGAAAATAACCCAAAATAAAGAACAAATATAAAATAAAGGTTCTAACTGTTTAAAAGTACAATATCTAATAAAAATATAATTTAAAAATCCACCCATTGGTGCATTACAATTATCCATAGCAAATTGACATTGATCCAATTCATAACTTGCAATTAAATTACAAATTTTAGTATTATCATTCGATGATGGTTCATTTTCTGTAATAGTTTCATTCATATATTGTGAATGAAATTGTGTATGATGTGTTAATGATGAATAATAATTGTTTTCAGTAGTTAATGTATTTCCAGTAATTGTTGATTGATTTGAATCTATTATAAAATGTTTTGTAATATAATATATTGATATAGATAATAGTATTAATACTATTGTTTTAATTAACATCCAATGTCCATTAACTTTATATTTAGGTTTATCATTTGATTGATAATAATAAGGTGACCACCTCGATAATATTCTCATTCTTATTCAAAATATTCAATATATAGATGTATTATAATTAGTGTTGCAGTGTTGTTGTATTTACTAAGTGAAATGCAAAATGGTCCTTCCCCAATATGTCTATTCGTAAATATGTACAAATGAGGATTTAAAAAATTACCAAAAGTGCAACTGGTTATGTTCAATAGCAGTAACTCTATTGTTGTGAGTGGGTAGTTGTTGTTTCTTTTTTTTTGAAGATTTTCAACAAGGCTTGTTACGTTTTCAACCATCCTCAACACATAGCCAAAAAAACAATGCAACCAACCCAAGCCTAGCTACCACCCATCGCTCTTTCTCTCCACAACAAGATGGAAAATATTTAAGGAAAATTTTAATGTTGGTAATCAATATAGTGACTGAGAAGATATAACTAAGATATTTTGCGAATCAGCAAGATGGAAAGATTTTATAATGATGGTTCATAATGATGCAATTCCGTTGTCCATTCATATGAAACAATGTTCCTCTCTTGATGCTACAAACAGTACATGTTTAAAATACATCATCACGCACAATAATTGAGTTCATCATGTTGCATTGTTACTGGAGAAAGAGTTCTACTAAATTGGGAATATTTGGGGTGTCCTCAATAGTTAGTGTTGGAGTAATTGAGCGGACAATGGAATGCGTTAGAGTCTTTTGATATTTAATTGGATGAAAATGTAGAAATGCAGAACATTGCAATAGAGAGCCTACAATCTTAAATTTGTACTTTTATAGAATGGTTATGATTTTGCAGGTTGAGTGAATGGAGTCCATTACATTCTTACAAAACATGTAGTAACTTGAAATTTTATACATTTGAACTACAGTTATTCGAAAATTTCATCTACAGTTCGAAACTAAACTGTAGTTCTCAAAAACTAATTTCAAAAATTACAAACGCAATTATCATATTCATCCACAATCATCAATATCATTAACAAAAAAATAATCAAAGAAGCAGTAGTAATATAACTGATCCTCCTTCTCCACTGCCTGCTTTTTTGATCATCATTAAAGTTTGCACTAATATAATTACTTGAAGACTAGACACAACAAATTTGATCATTAAAATGACGTCATCACCAATAGCTGTTGGTGGCGGTGGTATTTTATCATCATCATTATTGGCCATTGGTGCCGATGGTGGTGGTGCATCAGCATCATCATCAAGTATCAATGAAACTAATTATGCTTTACAATTACAAACTAATCATTCCGGTGTTAGTTTTATTTTAATTCTTGATGGTTGTGTTTTTGTTTTAGGCTTGTTGATTTTATTTTGTTGTTTGAGAAATTTACGTTTATGGAAACGTAAAAAATCATCATCATCCAATAATAATTTTAATATTAATAATACTAATAATAATATTGGAAGTGGTAATACTAATATAAATGATGATAAGAATGAAAGAAATGTATTTAAAAGATTCTTTAAAAGAATTTATCAATTTTTAATATTTGAAAGTGAATATGAAAGAATTGGTAAATTGTATGGACATGAAGTTAGTGTTTATTTATGGTATTCACATCAAATGATATTATTTACAGGATTATTTACATTAATTGGATTATCAGTATTATTACCATTACATTTAACAGGACAAATTAGTAATTCTAATACAATGAATAATTTAAATGTAATTTCAAAGAATCAAAATAGTACAAATATTGAAACTGATTCATTTTTATACAAGACAAGTGTTAATATGGTATTATCATTAACAGATAGATTATATGCACATGTTATTTTATTTTATTTATTTTCAATTTTAATATTTTATTTAATGTATAGATTTGTTAATTCTAAATTTGTTAATCAATATATAAATATGGATGGATTTGAAAATGATTCAAATAGTACTTTAAATATGATTAGTAATTATAGTGTTTTATTAAAAGATATTCCAATTCAAATTACTGATAATACTAAATTTAGAAAATCAGTTGAATCTATATTTCCAAATTTAAACATTTATTCATGTCGTTTAATTCATGATACAAGTGAAAGAATTGAATTACAAGAATCTTTTGAAAATTCAATTGAACAAATTAAACATTATGAATATGTTCAAAATCAAACAAACAAACATGTTAAATTAATTAAATTATTCGAATCATCCAAAAAAGGTAAATGTTGTTCTAAAATTATTGAAAGAGTTGATGCTTTAAATTATTGGAATGAAAAGAAAGTAAAATTAGAACATTTAATTATGGAATGGGAAGAAACTTTTAAAAATCAACCAAAATCAACTGGATATGGACATGTTATTTTTAAATCAATTCAAGATGCATCTAAATGTAAAGCAATGGATGAAACTGGTTTAAAATTATTTAAATTGAATAATAATATGATGAATGATAATACTACTCCTACTACTAATATACTACTACTACTTGTATCAATGATTCAAATGATTCAAATGATTTAATTGAATTTCGTATTGAAAAGAAAACATTTGAACCACAAGATTTAAATTGGTCAAATTTTTCATTATCTAAAAATCAAAGAACATTTAGAGTTGCAATTGTAAATTTACTATTAGTATTTTTCTTATTATTTTTTACAAGTCCATTGGCAATTGTTTCATCTATTCAATCAATTGCTAATCGTATTCCACAAGCAGCTAAAGCATTTAATCAAATTAAAGAAGCAAGTGGATATACAGGTGATATTTTATTTCACTATTTACCAACATTATTATTATTTATTATTGCACAATTATTACCAATGATTATACCACTATTAACTAGATTTGAAAAATATAAATCCTATTCAGAAGAATCAAGTGTTTATTTATTAAGATTATTTATTTATGTTGTTTTATCAACATTAATACTTCCAGTTTTATTATTAACTTCATTAGATGGTGTTATTAGATATTTTGAACAATTTAGTCATTCAGTTAGTGGATCAGGTGATTCAAATTGGCAAGCTTTATTTGATTATTTATTTTTACCACAATCAGGTGCATTCTTTATTAATTATACAATTCAATATTCTTTATTAGGATGTTTTGTTGATATGATTAGATTAAAAGATTTAATTATTTATTTTTATTTGAGATTTAAAAGTGTAACTGAAGAGGAAAAGGAAAATGCAACTAAAATTAGTGAATTTGATTTACCATTAGAATATGGTTATATGATTGCATTCTTTGGAATTATTTTAACATTTTCAGTTTTTGTTCCATTAATTTTACCAATTGGATTTTTCTATTTTATTGTAAAACATTTAATTGATAGATATAATATTTCAAGATTATGTTCTAAAAATGATAAAGCACGTTACAAATTATCACCTGATATTACTTCCTATAGAGAACGTAACAAATTAATTGTACAAATGACATTCTTTTGTATAATATTTGCTCAATTTTATGTCATGTTATTCTTTGCCAAATCAGGAGATGTTACTTTTATTCATTTATTTTTAATGTGTTTATTATTAATTTTATCAATTGTTTATGCTTTATATTGGAATATTCATTACAAGACTAAATTTAATCCATTAGATTCAAATAATAATCAATTAATTCATTCCACTTTTTATAGTCAAGATGAGGAATTATCAATTTTTAATAATCAATTACAAGATAAATTTAGTTATGCTTATTTCCCACCTTTTGCTTTGGAATCAATTCATGGTTTGAAGGAACAACGTGAACAAGAAATTAATGAAATGAAATTGACTATTTAATAATAATAATATTGAGAATATTGAGAATATTTTATGTTTTTTTGAAATAAATAAATTTAAAATTATTTTATTAAATAATCTTTTAATTCAATTGAATTAGTTAAAAATGTTCAGTATTAACTTGTATGGTATCAATTAATTTCTTAACTTCATGTTCTTCATCTTCTGTATGTTTAACAGCAGTGAGTGAAGGTGATTTCTTGAGGAATGAAAGAGTTTTCATCATTGAATTTCTAGGTGAAGGTTCTTCAAAAACTGTTGATTCCAATTTGTTCAATGAGGAGGTTGTACTAAATTTGTGAAATACCTGATCACAAATTCTCAAAATTTCTCTCATTTCAAATTGTTTAACATTATTAATTTGTTCATCTTCCTTAGTTAAATGAAGTTGTTTGTAGAGTTTCTTTGACCAATCAATGTGAGTATTGGCAATTGGTGATTCTCTCTCAAATGATAAAGCATGAATAACACCCTCCTGTTCAATATAA